TAGCGCATTTGCTATTTACATGACGACTATGTAAGTGGAAAAACTGAGCGTTTCACTAGCAAGAAAACAGGTCAACAGAGCATCTGCAGCGTAAAATGAGAGATAAGCCAATTCTCATTATCTACTTTCACTTTTGCTCTCGTGGATAGGGAAACCTAGCAAACGAATAAATGAACAATAATAACGAATAAAAAAAACTGAGTACACATGTCCTATGCCCTATATAGTGTAAAACCTGACAGGTGGACAAATCTAAGGTTGTTTTTATTAAAACAAATATAAATAAAAATATGATAAATAATACTGCTAATAATAATAACATTATACAAAAGCAAATTGTTATGAATAAACTGAAAAAGCCTCCCGAGATAAAGAAGGCATGAAGGCAGTGGTTTTTATATTTATGTAGGCTAGAAAATCATGTTTTGTAATATTTTAATCCTTTATATTTATATCCTATATATTCTTATTATATCCTATATATATGCTTAATATTTTATTTTTTTTCCATATGTAAAGATATTTGTGTATTCCTCTACGTCTTGTGTGTATTAAGCAGTGTGTAAGCGAGGCGCACAACTAACGCGCTCTGTGCTAGACAATAGACCGGCTTTGTTCTGGTCTATTGAAAAATCTATTATAGTTTCTCAACGCACCAGCAATACACCTCAACACGCCTCCCTTTTTAGACCAGAACGCCTATGGGCGCACATATGAGCGCAAATGCATTTGCTATTTAAACAGCATGGCGCAAAATGTCAAAACGACTGTTGTGTCAAGCTGAAACTAGCAAACAACTATTTCGTCGCGCCTTGCTGCAGATTGCAGGGCCCAAAATATTTCACATTTTATTTGGTCAACTTTACTTCATTTATAAATATACATCCTTTCTTGTCATTCAGACCTGCAACACATTTCAGAGTAGTTGGGACCGGAGCAATTTTGGGCTAGTAATCAGTTAAATTGGTGAAACAATGATGTGATTTAAAATAGGTGATGTCAACAGGTGACTGTGATTATGATTTAGAACAACCCACATGGAAAGAGCCTATATAAACATATATGTTTTAATATAGGTTTTAATAAAGAAGAGAAAAAAAGACAAACCATTGTGTTATATACTTCTTTCCACTATCTTCATTTTAAAAAAGAATTGACTTTGTAAATGTTTCAGGAAAACGTGTAGACATCATAGCTTTCCATCTCCTCTCACTTATTTTCCATAGTTAAAACCATAACATGCCAATTACAAGTGATACCAAATTTAAGTGGCACATAAACACGTTTTTTTGCACTTTTTAAAATTAGTTCTTATTTATTGCCTTAATAATAGAAAATATGAACTAGTTAAGGCATCATGTATACAGTAACAGTTGCCAAAGTGAGATATGAGCTATATAGGAGACATATCATGTATAAACAAAAAGGGCTTATGTATGGATATGAAGAAGCAATACAGGAGACCTATTTGGCCTGTAAATGCACATATATGCACCTCAATATTGCCTATATGTGGCATATATACACATGTAGCATATATATTATCATATATGTGCATATATACCGCGTATATGTTTCATTTATGCACACATATCCTCATATAGTTTCTTTCCATGTGGAAAAAAGCAGCATCCAAGAAGGGTCTAGTCGGAGCAAAGACGGGCTAAGGATTGCTAGTTTGCCGACAAATATGTGAGAAAATTATTAAAATGTTTAAAAACAATGCCTCTCAATAAGGGATAGGAAGACATTTGGATATTTTACCTTCAACAGTGCATATTCAATCATTAATTTTCTTTTCCACTTAATCCCTTTAATAATCTAAGGTCGTCACAGCGGAATGAACCGTCAACTTATCCAGCATGTTTTTACGCAGAGAATGCCCTTCCAGCTGCAACCCATCTCTGGGAAACATCCACACACACTCATTAACTACGGACAATTTAGCCAACCCCATTCACCTGTACCACATGTCTTTGGACTGTGGGGGAAACCAGAGCTCCCGGAGGAAACCCACGTGAACGCAGGGAGAACATGCAAACTCCACACAGAAACGCCAACTGAACTGACACAGCCGAGGCTCGAACCAGTGACCTTCTTGCTGTGAGTCGACAGCACTACCTACTGCGCCACTGCATCACCTCAATAGTGCTTACCATAATTAAAATATTCAAGGAATTTGGAGGAATTTCAGTGCATAAAAGACAAGGAAGCAAGCTTAAGCTGAACTACCATGATCTCTGATCCCTCAGGCAGTGCTGCATCAAGAATCTTCATACATCTATAAGCTTATAGTATATAGCTTATAATATACTTTGGCAAACCTGTGATGTTGTTACATCCACAAATGCCAGTTAAAACTGTACCGTGCCCAAATGCAGCCATATGTTAACAGTACTCAGAAGTGCCATTGACTTTTCTGGGCTCAGAGGCATCTGGGATGAACCATCACAGTGGAAACGTGTACAGTGGTCAGATGAATCAGTGTTTCAGTAATTTTTTTTATTTTTTATAAATGGATGCTGTGTGCTCAGGATCATTTAGACTGCTACCAGCAACAAGTCCAAAAGCTAGGGTCTGTCTTGATATGGGGTTGCCATGACAAAGGTAAACTGCATTTCTGTGATGGCACCATTAATGCTGAAAAGTACATCGATATTTTCTGGCTGCGGAGGAAGAGTATACAGGTATTTGACTTGCCTGTCTGCAGTCCCGACCTGTCTCCAATAGAGAATGTGTGGCGCAAAATGCGACAACGAAGACCCTCTAATGTTTCCCCCTGGAAGACTCGTTTGCAGGGATAAAGGGACCAAATAAACTGGTGTCTTCCATCACTAAACATCTTTTAAGTGTTTTGAAAAGGAATGTCATTACAAAGAGGTAAATAGGCAAGGCAAGGCAAGGCAAGGCACGTTTATTTATATAGCACATTTCATACACAATGGCAATTCAAAGTGCTTTACATAAACAATAATAAAAGAAACAAGTAAAATAAAAATAAAAACAAATAATAAAAATGCGTAAAAACAAAACAAAACATAAAAGCAGGTAAAACGTGATATAAAAGAATGAAGAAGAAGAGAAAAACATGATAGTGCAATCTGTCGGACGCAGCACAGTGCTCATTCAGTAAAGGCACAGCTAAACAGATGTGTTTTCAGTCTTGATTTGAATGTGCCTAATGTTGGAGCACATCTGATCATTTCTGGAAGCTGATTCCAGCAGCGAGGGGCATAGTGGCTGAAAGCTGATTCACCCTGCTTTGACTGATCTGTTGGAACTTCTAAGTTATATGATCCTAAGGATCTGAATGATCTGTTAGGTTTGTATTCAGTCAGAATATCTATAATGTATTGAGGTCCTAGGCCATGTAGTAATATATATACAAGTAATACTTTGAACTCTATTCCGAATGTAACTGGGAGCCAGTGTAGAGACCTGAGGACAGGTGTGATGTGCTCTGATTTTCTGGTTCTGGTTAGAATTCTGGCTGCAGCGTTCTGGATGAGCTGCAACTGTCTGACTGTCTTTTTAGGAAGACCAGTGAGGAGTCCATTACAGTAATCCAACCTGCTGCTGATAAAAGCATGAACAAGTTTTTCTAAATCTTCACTAGAAACAAAGCATCTGATTCTTGCTATGTTTTTGAGATGATAGTATGCTGATTTACTGACTGCTTTGACATGACTGTTGAAACTCAGATCTGACTCAAGAGTCACACCAAGATTCTTGACCTTATTTTTTGTCGTTTGACCTTTAGTGCCAAGGTACGCATTTACCTTGAGAACCTCATCTTTGTTTCCAAACACAATCAAGGAATTGTGTCCAAACACAATCATTTCAGTTTTCTCTTTGTTTAACTGAAGAAAGTTTTGACACATCCAATTGCTCATTTCATCAATGCATTGGCAGAGGGTGTCAATGGGGCTGTAGTCATTAGGCAGTAAGGCTAAGTAGATCTGAGTGTCATCAGCATAGCTGTGGTAGGAGATTTGGTTATAAATAATTTAATGTTCCAACTTTTATTCAAATGTGTTGAAAGATTCAAAACTGGAATACTTGTTTAATTTGAAATAATAATTATTACAACAACAACAACAACAACAACAACAACAACAACAACAACAACAACAGTAAAAAAAAATAATAATAACCAACTAAATAAAATAAAAAATAAATAAATAAATGAAATAAATAATAATAATAACAATCACAAGGAAAACATTAAACAATGTGCTATTGTGTTGTCTGCAATGAAAGTCAAAGTAAATATAGAAATCCCTACTTTTTTTTATTTGCATTTCCATACAATCCTAACTTTTCCTAATTGAAAATATAAAATTAGAATAAGGTCCCTCAGAATTGTCTGAGAATAGCCTGAGAGGCATTTGTTACTATGTTATTAAAGTTGTTATTTCATTTTCCAATGAATTTTCAATGTACAATTCCCTTTTTTTCTTTTTTACAAATCACATATTTGTTTTTCAGTTAATCCTGAAGTGTACTTGAAACTTGAAAGAAATCATTAAATATGCATTTATGAAGTTGCTATTATGACATGTATTTAATTAACATATGAGAAATTTAGGTCACACTTTACAATAAGGTTCATTAGTTAATGTTAATTAATGCATTTACTAACATGAACAAACACTGAACAATACATTTACTACTGTATTTTTATGCTAGTTAACGTTAGTTAATGAAAATACAATGGTTTATTGTTAGTTCTTGTTAACTCATGGTGCATTAACTAATGTTAACAAGCATGGACTTGGATGTTAATAATGCATCAGTAAATGTTCAATTATGATTAATAAATGCTGCACATGTGTTGTTCATGATTACTTCATGTTAGTAAATGCATTAACTAATGAACCTTATTGTAAAGTGTTACCGAAATTTAATATGCATATGCCCATACTGTATATGCCAAAGAATATATTTAGATAAGGAAAAGAAGAAAATAAGTGAGTTCACTTTCTATCAAACAGACTAACCTGTGAATATCTCCACTTCTGACACTTGACACTCTCAGGTTTAGGCAGCTCTGGCATCAGCTTTTTCAGCTCTTCCAGAATGATGGGCTGCACAGCATCCTTCTCCTCTTCCAAGTGCTGGATGCCAAAGGGCACACTGGTGTGGACCACCACAGAAGGTCCGGAGACTTTTGATTCTGCCAAAGATACAGTCTATCAGGCTCACGTATGGCTGATTATTAATTTATTCACAAACATATCCAATTCACAGATACCACAAAATGTGCTACATTGAGAGAAGGTTTAAGAAGCTTTATGCAAGGAAACTAGAAAATGGAAAAAGAAATGAGGGTTAGATGAACTGTAAATACAGCAGCAGAAAAGCCAACACTTAAAGGAATAGTTCACCCAAAATAAAAAATGTTGTCATCATTTATTCACCCTTCACTTCCAAACCAGTTTGTCTTTCTTTCTTCTGTTGAGCATGAAGAAAAAGATTTTTTTTTTAAGCAAGCTCGAATCCTGTAAGCAACAACTATCATAGTATAAGTTCTACCAACTATGGGAGTCAATGGTTACAGGACGTCAGCTTTCTTCAAATATCTTTTTTAGTGTTTGACAGAAACTAGAAATTAGAACCCTTTCGGTACAAGTATATAGTGAGTACATGTTCATTTTTGGTTGAACTATCCCTATAAGGTTTCACATGTACCCCCTCCTTTTTCTGTGGAACATAATATTTTAAAGAACATTTTGTCATAGTTTGTCAAACAATGAAAGACAATCATGAACTAAACAACACTGGCCACCATAAACAAACACACTTTTTAAAACATTGCTAACACTAGTATAGGGATAAATTCTCACTATTAACTAATTGCTTATCTAGCAGGCCATATAGGCTGTAAAATATTGGTTGTTTATTAGGAGAAAGCACATACTGTATTCTGCATGATCATATGCTACACCCCTAATCCTCCTACTTTGAAATAAAAAAAAAAAAATCTTTTTGAGTTTTTGTTTTGTTTTTAGTCCAAAAATCTAAAACTTCTCAAATCAAGAAGAATTGTTTTGACAAGCAAAAACATTTTCTTGTTTTCAGAAATACTTAAGTCAAAGTTAAGTTAGTTTGTCTAAAAAATGCTGCTTGATTCATTTTTTTTAATTTTTGTTTTGGTTTGGACTAGTAACGAGACAAAAAACTCTAAGAAAGGCATACTTTGCAATATTATGCATATTTTGAATCTTTTTTGTGACAAAAAAGACTTAGACTGTCACGGAACAGAATGAAGAGCAAAAATGTGGTGTAACAGAATTCTTTAATGAAAAAAGTCAAAACAAGGCAGTCTGTCGTTTAGCGAGGCACACAGAGCTGGATCTTCAGAAAGGAAACTCAAAAGGCCACTGCGATGCAGGAACGTCTGACCTCCAGGCGCTGATGGTCAGAGCACAGTCAAAAATGAGAGCACACTTTAATAGAAAATGACCAACTTGTGCAAACAACGAAGATCAAGGCTAGACAAGACAGGATAGGAAGAAACGGGATGGAAAAAGCAGGTTAGTGGTGCGCTAAACACACTCAGAGAAACACATGGAGCAATAATAAACTAACAACAGCGGGAATGAAAGGGAGAGAGATATAGGAATGCCAATAAGGGTAAAGCGAGAACAGGTGACTGGTGATCAGCGCTGATTACAAGAGCCAACAGCTGAGAGGAGAACACAGAAGGGAAAAGATTAACAATGATCAAACCAGGTTCATGACATAGATAATGGTTTATTACTGGGAATTGAAATTTAAAATAAAGTTTAAAACATTTGACCTTAAAAAAAAAAAAAAAAAAAAAAAAAAAAAAATTTAAATATATATATATATATATATATATATATATATATATATATATATATATATATACACACACAAATACTGCTACTGTTGGACAACTTAATAATGGAAAAAAGTATAGATTTTTAGACTCTTCGGATTTGATTTTCTTTTTATACACATGATTATGCCATTGAACTGTTTTATAAACGCAATATCACACAAGTAGCAGTGCGATATGCCTGTTTATCGTCACTGGTGAGACACTAAGCCTCCCACCAGTGCCGATATATAGCTATATCGCACTGCTACTCGTATGATATTGCTATGATTTACTAAATAAAGTCGGTCATATTAGCTATATACACAGTTGAATTCAGAATTATTGACCTTATTCTCCACAGACGAGCGGGCGCTGTCATTTGAATCTTTTTGGCACGAGACTTCCGGTCTCATTCACTTCCATTCATTTTTAGACATTAAAAACTGAATATATATTTATTATATATATATTATTCTACTTGCTCTGTATAGTCATGCAAACATTTGTTTGTAGAGCAAGTACTTTGACCGTTTTTTGCAGTTTATTATTCCTTGTCATTTCTCCGATAGGCGACTGAAACGGAAGTTCTAAGACAATCGCGAAAACAGGTGCACTTCCGCATTTTAGAATAAGGTCAATAGTCCCCTCTTTAAATTTTCGTTTTTAAATATTTTCCAAATGATATTTAACAGGGCAAGGAAATTTTCACAGTATGGCTGATAATATTTTTAATTAAAATTATTAGCCCCTTTAAGGTATTCGATGGTCTACAGAACAAACCATTGATATAAATTGATTTGCCTAATTACCTTAACATGCCTAGTTAACCTAGTTAAGCCTTTAAATGTGACTTTAAGCTGTATAAAAGTGTCTTGAAAAATATCTAGTGAAATATTATTTACTTTTATCATGGAAAAAATCAAATAAATCAGTTATTATAAATGAGTTATTTAAAATATTATGTTTAGTAATGTATTGAAAAAAATTATTTCTGTTAAACAGAAATTGGGGAAAAAATAAACATGGGGGCTAATAATTCTGACTTCAACTGTGTGTATGTATATATACAGTTGAAGTCAGAATTATTAGCCTCCTTTTGATTTTTTATTCTTTTTTAAATATTTCCCGAATGATTTTTAACAGAGCAAAGAAATTTTCACAGTATTAAAATTTTTTTTGGGACAAAATTATTAGCCCCTTTAAGGAAATTTTTTTATCGATAATCTACAGAGCAAACCATCGTAACAGAATAACTTGCCTAAATACCCTAACCTGCCTAGTTAACCTTATTAACCTAGTTAAGCCTTTAAATGTCACTTTAAGCTGTATAGAAATGTCTTGAAAAATATCAAGTAAAATAATATTTACTGTCATCATGGCAAAGATAAAATAAATCAGTTTTTAGAAATAAGGTTTTAAAACTTTTATGCTTAGAAATGTGCTGAAACAATCTTCCCTCCATTAAACAGAAATTGGGGAAAAAAATAAACATTGGCGCTAATAATTCAGTGGGCTAATATATCTAATAATATATTATTAGATATAATATGACCAACTTTATTTAGTGATTCATAACAGGCTGGCATGAGTAGTGTTAAGTAACTGACTCCAACATTCTGTTCTCCAGACGATGGTTTCTGAGTGATATCATCTATGGGCACACCTAACTCCATGATCTAATGCATTACAGGCCAAGCTCATCGGCAGAGATGTGACCCGTAACTGAGACCAGGCTTGATATATTAGCCTTGCACAGTGCAGTCATTTCTCTAATCACACCGTTTTAAAACACGTATTTAATATGATTGGAGGAAATCGTGCTTTATTGGGCTCCATAAACATGAGGCTGTGTTTGAGCAGCTGGAGTGATTTGGCCCGATGACTCCAAGTAGAATGAAGATGCTGAAAGCCATGGTTGATCAACGCTCGAGGAATGAGGGCTGGGTCTGAAAGAGGCCGCAGAGACTGGCTAAAGCTTAACTTTAAAGCCTCTGGCAGATTCACATGCTAACGCATTGCCTTTATGATCACCTGTGAGGAAGGGCTTTCTATTCAGGAAGACATTTTTTTTCAGTTTGGTAAAGTTTTATAGACCAGCAGAGAATAACGAACCATTTAAATTATGACTGTTGGCATACAATGTTGGCATAAAGGTGGAAAAAGTCAGGCAAATCACATTCGTATGCTATTCTCATGCCTGGTTCTTAAATAAAATTGGATAAATAAATAAATCAAGTATCCCGAAAATATATTGGTGGATAAAACGCCATGAGGAATAATGAATTCAATTTATTGAATGACTAACAGCAACAAGTACAGTGCTATTCAACAGATTTACAACTTTTAAATTGAAGAAAAAGGCCATTTTTTTGTGTTTCTGAAAATTTCTACCTTAACAACACTGTAAATATGATCCTGAGTTTTAGTCAGGTGAAAAAGTCAAATCATGACCCATATTCAACAGTATGCATTGTAACAACCTCAACCTGAAGGGAAATGGAAAACTTAAAATAACATGTTCATATAACAACAAAACATAAGTTCTAACAGAATGTGTCATTTTGTAGCATGTGCTGATCACTCTAGGAGCCAGGAAAAGTCTACGAATGGATTTTCATGACTGCAAATAACGAGTAAGTACCCTGATTTGTTCTATTTATTGTCACATTTTGCACACTTAAATAACTTTAATATGCAGAACCCACACACTGCCAGGCAAATTATCTGCCCTCTATACACCAAGCTTTGAATATTGCGAGTTAATGTTGGTAAATAACAGTGTAAACAAACGGTAAAAAATGATTCTGCATTTTAGTTTTTTCAACATGAAGATTTCATCATTTTCCCAGACATGAGTTGTGGTTGGAAGGGCATCCGCTGCGCAAAAAAGTACTGGATAAGTTAACGGTTCATTTCGCTGTGTCGACCCCGGATTAATAAAGGGACTAAGCCGAATAGAAAATGAACGAATGAATGAATGAAGTTTCCATTATAAGATACATGAAGTAAGATACATGTTGTTTTTGTCTTTTTCAGGTTTAGTGTTTTAGATTTTGTAATGTAAAGAAAGAAATAGAATTTTTGTAATTTATATACAGCACAGAGATTCTTTAGAAGAGCTGAGGATAGGGATGACTCCTGGAAATCAGCAACTGTTGATGAACATTGGAGCAGATATCTGCAGTGTAAGAGTACACTGACTTAAAAATGCATTAAAATAAAGATTTTGAGATCTGATTTTATAATCTTCCAAGGTCTAGTGCCATTTTTTCCAAGAGTCTGTGTTAGTTGTGTATTTTAGAGTTTTGTAGGGTTTTTTGTTCACCTCT